GGTCTGGCCTTAATTGCAGTCACTGACAGATACATATAGAAAAGTACAACAAGCGTGAGTATCCCTTCAATTCTTGAAGACCACCTCCCAGGATACTATTAAAATGCTAGTTAGTCCCAATTAGGAATGTGTTTCCATATCAACTCGCCTACGCTAAGCAGCCTACTAAGGCTCAGTTGGCACACCCGTGAACAGACCAGAGTTCAAACTCCGGTGGATTGCAATCACATTCAAATGACTGAAAAATAGATCTGAATTTACCCAAAAAAAAAAAAAAAAAAAAAAAGAGTTGAATTTACCCGGGTTGAGCAGTTCAAAGATGATGGGCCTCGCTCCACTACAAGGCCATACTCACACGGGGACCTATAATCCCAAAATCCCAAAAAAAAAGGGAAAGGATCTACCAAATTCGCAAATGTACTATTCCAGTGCCCATTTGTCAGCGGCCTGGGAAGCCGCGGGGCAAGGGATTTTGCCGTCACCTCTGGAGGTGACCACAAATTCCCTTTTTTTTTTTTTGCATTTTCTTCAAAAATTGGCAAAAATTCGTTCATAAAAGTTCCTGCACAATTGGTGGATGGCTCCATGTGACCAGCAAAGTACCAAATTCCCACGTCAATTCTCCAGAAGGCCGCGACTTTGTCCCATCTGAAAAGGTACAGCAGTGTAACGTGAACCATACCCAAGACCTCAAATCGGCCCTTCACAAATCCGCATATTTTGCGGCGTTGGGTTCACCGTGTGAGTTTGTATGCCCTAAGGGCACACTCACACTAGCACGTAATTCTGCAAATTTTACGTATGTGAATTTGCGTTTATACGGCACCTGCGGGTCACACTGCTCACCCATTTGTTGCCCAAAGCAGAAAGGACAGGGTCGCAACCTGGCCTTCAAAAAAAAAAAAAAAAAAAAAGAGTAAACTACGGCACAGTCAGGGTTACAGTTTGTAATTGCATTTGAAACTGCGTTTTAGCAGTTTAGTCAGGGCCCGAGTTTCAATTGCAGTTGCAACTGGTTTTAGCAGTTTGAAACTCGGGCTGGTTTTTTCTAGCAGTTCAGTCAGGCACATGGTTGGGCCACGGCCGAGATGTCTCGGCCACACCCCAGACTGGCCACAGCCGAGATGTCTCGGCCACACCCCAGACTGGCCACGACCGAGATGTCTCGACCACACCCCAGATTGGGCACGGCCGAGATGTCTCGGCCACAGTCGAGATTGGCAGGCACTACCCCTCATAGGCAAACGCGAAGTCTCAAGAGTAGACTACTCCGAAGAAGTGGGGGGCTCGGGGCAGGGATGGAGGCCAAAAAAAAAAAAAAAAAAAAAAAAAAAAAAAAAAAAACGAGGAACTTCGAATCCACCTACGTCGGGAAGGCCCTCAGGTCACCAGTGCTTTGAGGAATGTATCTGGCCAAGAAGTGAGGAACATGAAACAGGTAGTTTTCGTTTTTTGTTTTTTGTTGTGAGGTCCCTGTAGCGCCCTGCCAGCCAGGCAGGGCGGATTCCACTCTTCATTGAGTTCCAGACAAGTATTGTAGCATCCTGTATCCGACCGCAATCACACCATAAGGGATGTTTTTTCTTTTTTTCTGTTTATCTGCTCTTCGTGGATAGACGAGGGCCCTGACTGAACTGCATACGGCCGAGTTTCAACTGCAATTGAAACTCGGACCCTGATTAAACTGCAATTGAAACTCGGACCCTGACTAAACTGCTAAAATGCAGTTTAGAATGCAATTACAAACTGTTTTCCTGACTGCGTCGAAGTTACCCAAAAAAAAAAAAAAAGGACCAGGTCGCGACCTGGCCTTGAAATGCGAAAATACCTTGTGTGCAGTCAGACAGCACAATGCACTTCAATTTATTTTTTTTTGCTTCCAGAAAGCAGTAGATGAAAAATAAATACGATTTTGCTTCCAGAAAGCAGTAGATGAAAAATAAATATGTAAGCCCGCCGCTGTCCAGGCCGCTGACATCTACGACGTGCCCTTTTGTGTGCAACGCAAAATACGTGTCTCTCGTGTGACCCGAAAAACTACATAAAATTTGCAATTTTGGGAAAATACGTGGTAGTGTGAGTATGCCCTAACTCTGGACATGACATTGTGCAAAAGGAGAGAGTAATTTGTCCTTCAAAACATCGGGTACAATGGGAACAATACGGAGAAGGGTAATTCGCATGGCCCCTGGGGCCTCAACCCACCAGCATCGAATAAAACGGTGTGTGGCAGCCGTTTCTTAAAAAAAAAGCATATAAAGAATCCTTTTTTGATTTTCAGAAATGCAAAGAAAACAAGGCCAACGCTATGCATCCACACTTCCACCAACCCGGTACATCTGCATGCGACCTTCCCGCCGGCCTGTTCACAGTCTTCCACGAAAATCTCAATATTCTCAATTTCTGCAAAAAAAAAAAAGCAAGGCGCGAAGCTTCGAAAACACCCCCCCCTTAAAAAACCCATAGTATTGAAGCTTCGCGCCAACGGAAAGTGGCCAACTAAATGGCCAACAAATGATTAAGAAAACAGTTCTACTGGCCTCAAGGAAGATGCATCCATGAAAACAAAGACAATCCACACTAGCAGTGGATACACGAAATGATCAACGACTCACGCATGTCACAGACGGTCGCATGTGGTCGAAAACGGCAGAGCACAAGCGTAAATAGGACGTAGTGGGACGAGGCCCCTGCGCAAGGATGACATGCATAAATCGAGAAATGGTCCAAATTAATATTAAAAATAAAAATAAAAAAATAAAGGAGAGTAAATCTTCAGCTTTTGTGCATGTCAAGAGTAGCGCAGCCAGGCGCGATATCTCAAGGGGGTGCCAGTTTCAAAAAGGAAAAAAAAGGGAGGACGAGTCCCGACTGCTCCTCCATACTGTAGAATCTACGGGCATAGGGCCTCGCTCGAAATGTGCAAAACGAGAGTGAATCTTCCGCTAGAATATGGAAAGATACACCGCCATAATTTTTGTCTTTTGTGCATGTGGAGAGTAGTGCAACGAGGCCCGTAGTCACACGGGGACCTGATAATAACCAAAAGTCCCAGATTTTGAGGTAGTTTTGAGGTCACATTGGTTCCTCCTGCTATGCTATTGCACTTTTTGGTGACCCTACAATTGTCAGCCACCTGCAGGGGGGACGTGGGAGGACCCACTTTGAGGGCATACTCACACGGGGACGAATAATCCCAAAATCCCAAAAAAAAGGGGAAAAGACCGGTCACACGGATCTACCAAATTCGCAAATGTATCATTCCAGTGCCCATTTGTCAGCGGCCTGGGAAGCCGCGGGGCAAGGGATTTTGCGGTCACCCCTGGAGGTGACTGCAAATTCCCTTCTTTTTTTTTTGCATTTTCTTCAAAATTTGGCAAAAATTCGTTCACAAAAGTTCTTGCACAATTGGTGGATGGCGCCGTGTGACCAGCCAAGTACCAAATCCCCATTTCTCGAGACGGCCGCGACCTTGTCCCATCTGAAAAGGTACAGCAGTGTGACGTGAACCATACCCAAAACCTCAAATCGGCCCTTCCCAAATCCACATATTTTACGGCTTTGGGTTCGCCGTGTGAGTATGCCCAGCGGTGGTCTCAAATGCCCTTTCTTTTTTTTCCATTTTTTTTCTTTATTTTGAAGAAAGAACAAATCCATTCTTTTTTTGGGGTTTTCAGCCGTGTGACAGGCACTCTTTCTATGGCCTCCAAGTTTTATAGCCACGACTCTACCCTTTCCGGACAGAGTCCTCCCATGTGACGACACGGGTACCTAAAGTCGCCAATTGGCGGTACTAAAAGCCTCAAATATTTGCGACTTTAGGTCCCCGTGTGAGTATGCCCTCACTCTAGGACTTTCCTGCATGAATCTGACCGCAATTGAGGCTCGGACCCCACTGGCCGGCGGCTGGAAGAGTTTTGGCATGGAAGGGCAATTGCGGACCCCATTGGGCCGCCAGATGCACCGCCGGTGGTATGCCAACGTCGTTTACAGACACCACTGCCATTCTGGAAACACTGTTGGCCGTGTTTCTACACGAGTGGCGGCTGGAAAATATCCGCCAGAAACTGGCGGTCCTTTTCCAAAACGTCCTCCAGACGGGTCGGGGCTCGAAAGTGCCGAAAAGTTTCCATCACTGTCGGCCGCGTCTGGTTCAGAAAACGGGCGTCGCGGACGTCGGGGCGGACCAGGCCAAAACGCAGTGGTCGAACGGCGTGTCGCACTTTTCGTCAAAACGGGCCGTACGCGGTCCCTTGAGATGGTCCCCCGCCGTGGTCCCGCTGCATTTCGAAACGCGGGAGCGGCAAATTTGAGTTCAAACGGTGTTTGAACGGAATTTTCCACCGTGCCAACTAGTACTTGGGGCGGAGAGAAGGAATGCAGGCCATTGCGCTCTCTGTCGATGACGTGGCCGCAGTTTTTGTCACGACCTTGCTGGTCTGCACTTGTCTTCTTCGTTTGAGCACCGGGTGGAAGGTCGATCTGCCATGCGAGTACTCACAGGACTTGCACGTTTCGGACGTGTGGCTTCCGTCCAAGGTGCTTCCATGTCCCATGGTCGTCCTTTGTGGAGTCGTCGTTGGACGCATTCGGATGCCTCCACTGCGGTTCGGACGCTACTACAGTTTCCTGTGTTCAGCTCTGGACATGCAGCTGCGCGAGCCTCTTTCCATGGCAGTGGTTGTGGTGGCGTGGTTGTTCTAACGTCGTTGTCGTCGTTCACTCCGACGACTGCCCCACAGAGAACCACGTCTGCATCTTTCGTCGTCCATTCCCCGCGATCTCCAGCCTGCAGCGCAGGTCCTCCGTTGTGCAATCGACAAGCGGATGTTGGCAGAAGCGCAGGTGAGCGTGTGCACGTCAACAGTGGACACGTGGCGATCGAAGACAGCACGGCGCCATCTGCACATGGGCCTGGTGGGGGGTGTCGCTGCAGTTGTGTGAGGGAATGTCCTGTGGTTGTCGTCGTGGCGAACGGGCGTTGTGGCGGCCGCGTGGACGGTGTGTCGCTGCTCGTTGTGGGCATAGCAGTCATTGTCATCCTCGTCTTCGTGGTAGGGGTCTTGCTTTTGTCGTTAGTTGTCACGTTCGTTGCCATTGGCCTTCTCTGCAGACGTCTGTAGTCATCCTCCGTACGGGTGGGGCCAAAGGTGCCACCTTTCATTGTTGATTAGGCGGTGTGCTCCGGTGGCAGTTCGGTTATGGAGTCCACACGTTGGACGGGTGACGTCGAAGTTGGTTCCGATGGCAGTACTGACATGCATGACGGTCGTGTGCATGCACGGCCCCATTCTCGCGGGCAGGGGGTTCCGAGCATGCATTCCTTCGCCGCCGTGCGTCAATCAACGCCGGCCGTGCAACGTCCGTACTTCCCCTCGCGTGCGCCTTTCCCATTGTTGCCCTTCGATAGAGGGTGTGGTAGACAGTCTCCCGAGAGGTTGCATGCAGGCCTTCTGCGTGGTTGTCCACTGGCAGTGGACATGCGGGGCGACGGCGGTTTCGTCGTTGATGATCACTCTTTCTCCGTCCAACAGCAGTGCCATTTGTATGCAGCGAGGGCATGCGTAGAAGGGACGAGCATGGGTGCAGGTTTTGGCATGCCTGCGCCGGGCGCACAGAACATGGACATGGGTGGCACACCTTGGTCTCCCCTATGCACCCAGAGCACGGTACGGTCGTTCAGCATGCGGTGTTCTCCATCTCCTCAGCTGGGCGTTCACACGGACGGCCCGTGGAATCGGACGAACACGCGGCCGGTGTCTCCCGAGACTCGCATGGATTCACCGTACGACGAAGGCGCCACCGTTTCCGGAGGAGCCGATGAAGACGATCATGCAGAGCACGGAAGTGTTGTTCCAGTGATGGCAAGGTCGATTGCCGAGCAGGGTGATGCGCAGGGCCGGGGTGCGGCAGGCGGGGAGGGGAGCAGGTGGCCGGCGAATGCTCGACCATCGGCTCAAAAGAAGCAAAGCGTGCCATGGACGTTGGACGAGCGAGTGAAGCTTGCATTCCTTATGGGCGAGGACGATGGCCTTATGGCGGATGCTAACGGCCAACACCGATTCAAGCAGAGGAAAGAGCGGTATGCATGGGTGAACGATAGGATGAAGGACGCTGGCTTCAAACACAGGACCACCGAAGACTGCCGCAGGAAGTGGTCCAACATGCTGCAGATGGCGAAGCTCATCGTCGAAAAGTGTCACGCGTCTGGACAGTTGTCGTATTGGGATCTATCTGTGGAGGAACGAAAGGAGAAGTATCTCCCGCTTTCTTTTGAAAAACCGTTGCGGGACGCTATGCAGTGGCAACTAAACCGACCGCCGATGAGGTGTGACAACACGCTGGCTTCGGAGAACCTATCGGGGGATGGAACAGATCCACCACCGGGGGGAGGATCAGATGAAAGATGCGCGGAGGAGTTGGACAATTCTACGAAAGTGAGGCGGACGGCCGCCGGGAAGGCGAGAGGGGAAGATGGCAGTAGCGGTGGCACGAGTATGGGGAGGGTCATGGAAGATTCTACACGCTCGTACTGTGATGGCCTGGACAAAGCGGCCACCTCCCTTGCCAAAGCCACCGCAGACGCAGGCACCGCAATCGCTGCTCGGATAGGGGATGTGGCCAACGCAATGCGGGGTGGGAACAGTGTTCTCAAGTTGCTAGTGGGGGTTCTAGCCCGCAGGGGAGCAAATGGAGGTCACTCCACCGAAGCGGGTCGGGATACAGACCCTTCATCTCGGTGAGATACATATATATAAATATATATATATATATATATATATATAGATCTGTCCTCCAGCGGAAATCGAACAGGTCGTGCACATGTCCCCACCGATTGCAGTCGACTGTCGAGAGTCTCATGCATGTATATATGTACATATATACATGCATGAGGCTCCCGACGGTCGACTGCCATCGTTGGGGACATGTGCACGACCGTTCGATTTCTGACGGAGGACAAAATCGTCAATCAGGATACGAATTAATGGAAAAAAAAAAAAAAAAAAAAAAAAGGTGGGGGTTGGGATTATTCTTTGTGAGCACGGCCGCAAACGCCGATTGTGACAGCGCACCACCCCGTCGGGCCATCCCGAGGCACGTGTATAAAGAACGGGTTCGCATCGGCAGTGATCGCACTTTCTAGATGCGAGGGAGTACCATGCCGACACGGACTGTCTCCGCTGGTGATGTTGGTTGTATAGCCGCGTGTGGAGGGTGTGGGGGTGCGCGGTCCACCGCATAGTGACCGTAGAATCGGTTGGCTCCATTTCGCATTAGCAAGAAGGAAAGGGATCTGGCGAGAGGCAAAGAGAGAGCGGAGGGAGGGGCACACAGAGGGATGGATGTGTGTGTCTTCTGCCGTGGTCTCATCGACGGCAGGGGGGTTATGGTCTACGAGATGATCCACCATCGGGACGGGTACCACACAAGGGACTTCGAGTTCGCGATTGGCGTGACATGTCACTCCGTCCGTTTCTATGAAGTCGATGTCGATGGGGTCCCCGCTATGAAGATGGAGGTGGGGTTGGGATTCTTCGGAAACAACCTGGGACATGTGCTCATCTTTGTCACGAAGGTCGGGGATGTGATCCCCAACGAGTGGGGCGGCCATCCCATTGATCTGGCGGGGGAGGTCGTGCTTCTTTACATCTCCACGCTTGCCGACCTGTACGCAGACCGCCTGGATCCGCTCCCGTTTTGGAGGTGCACTCTTGATCCACCGTTGGTGGGCAGGCCGTATTTGCACCGGGAAGTGAGGCCTTGAATCGGCGGCGCTTGTCACACCGACCGAAGACAGAGGACATGTACAGCCGAAGCGCCATGAATGCCCGTCTTTTGTGTGTTCCGGGTTCGCTGGAGTCCGTTCGTTTGTCTATGGTTGACGAGAGAGAGAGAGAGAGAGAGAGAGAGAGAGAGAGAGAGAGAGAGAGAGAGAGAGAGAGAGAGAGTCTTCTGGGCGTAGATGCACCGTCGGCGGTTATGATGATGATGATGACGGTCATGATAACGGCGTCGGGGGTGCTGAATACTGTCAGTCTCGTGGACTGCCGCGCTGGCGGGGGAGATGATGATGATGTTGATGATGATGATGATGATGATGATGATGATGATGATGATGATGATGTTGATGATGATGGGGCCGCTGGTGACGTCGTGATGCCTTATGATGGTGATGTTGATGATGATGATGATGATGATGATGATGATGATGATGATGGTGATGGTGATGGTGATGGTGATGGTGGTGATGTTGGTGATGGTGATGATGATGGTGGTGATGATGACGTTGATGGTGATGATGATGACGATGATGATGATGGTGATGATGGTGATGGTGATGGTGATGGTGATGATGATGATGATGATGATGATGATGATGATGATGATGATATTGATGATGATAATGGCGATGATGTCCCCAACGATGATGATGACGATGATGATGGTAATGATGCCGCTCGCTCGGGTGAATCGTCCCAACGGCATAAGTATCGACGAAATTTAAATTCATTCCGTTATGTATATAAACGAACTCGTAAAGGAGTCGGTGGTTTTTTGTAGCCCATTTCGGATTCAGGCTATCGGTTGTTGTTGTTTTTTTTTTAATGTTTTTTTGGGTTATGTGCATGTTTGTGTTTGTAGTCGTCGTCGCTATTTTGTGTGTGTCGCCCTGAAACCAATTGCTGGGCGACTTCTTTACCCGGACAGCGTCTTGCTATTGTCTTCCGATTTCATGTTCACTTTGGGTGTGTTGAAGGCTTTTGTCACGAATTTTACGTTCGGTTTGTTATGGTCGTTCAAGAAATGATCGTCGTGTGTGCTCGTATAACATGTCCAGATGTTATTAGTGGAAACTTTTCTCCCACTTTTTGTAAAGATATGAGTTCATATCTTTACATGCATGGGTGAATTTATATGTTCATATGTTCATATGCATGGGTGGTATATCATTTCCATTTATACATTTTGCAACATTAATTGCTTGAATTCATATGGTTTGTGTGCATGGGTGAACAAAGATTACATTGTGAAATCAAAGGAATGCTCTACCCTTTCTATGTTCGCCGACATCAAATGCTTTGATTTATGTGTTCATATGCATGGATAAACAAATATTACATGACGAAACGGACAAAAATCATGACCGACTGCGAATGAAGCCAACCAACAAAAGTGATTACCAATTACAATTACGAAGCACAACGACCATGGAATTCCCACCAACGGGTTTTCCAAAACCCTCGTCGCGGACACAATCTTCCGGTGCGTCTAACGAAGACTACGCTCCTGTCAACCTGACAGGAGCTACGAACGACGTAAATGATGCACACACAACTTCTCTACGAAGACACCGCTGTAGATGATCGACCATCAGCTACAGCAACCTCTTATTCGACCCTTTCGCCATCTCCCCGAATGCGAGGGGAGACACGTGCAACTTTTGCGTCGACAGAACACCACTACTGCCACAGGCATGGCGCCGGAGCTCCGTGGACCGCAGTGTGGTGCCGCACGTGCTCAACCAGGTTTTCCATGACGTGTTTGGCGAGATCCCCCCCATAAGTAGGGTCATCCTCCGGCACAGCCTCGATGTTCAAGTCCGGCATATGGCGGTTAAACCTGCGTCGCCTATGGTCCCCGCGATGGTGATCGTCTCCATCGGTGTCACTGCTGTCTTCCATCAACGCCGGGTCGATCTCCACGCCGTGGTCGATCATGAGGTAATGAAGAATGCTCACGGCCATGAAACCGGCCGAAAGGAGTCATGAGCCACAGGAGAAGGGGGTACCCTTGATCACCAAGCAGATACCGCCCAATATGTCTATTGTCGTGTAGCATGGCACCCCCCTCAGCCAGCACTCCTCTTCCCGACGTAGCCTGTACGTAGAGTGGCGAGATGCACACAGCTCTGGAATCATGCACAGACCCCGGGCATCCCACAAAAACGCTGCAAATCCGACACTCGTGGTCGCACACGACTTGTGCAACAACCGAAAACCCCCCGGTGTGGTGATAATAGCACTCCGATCACTCTCCCTTCGGCTTCTCTATATATAGATGGGTGCAATCTATTGCGCCCAGACTCCCGGGGAACCCTTTTCGCTCGAAGCCGTTTTGCACCTCCTCCAGCTGTTGTCCTGAAGGGAAGCGTAGGAGGTAGCCGTACTCCCGGATTAGGGCATCCGCCACATCCTCGTTGTTGCGCAAAGCACTCGCGAGGCCCATGCCCAAACTGTGGGAGGACTGGCTGTAATATCTGTCAGTTGCCCATCTCATCAGAGCACATGCGAACTTCTGTCCGGCGGGTATTGGCAGTCTGAAGTTCGTGGGCGAGCGCTGGATGTGCGGGCTGATGCGAGCAAGAACTTCGAAGAACAACGGCCGTGGGAGTCTGCAAAACCGCACAAATACCTTGTCGTGCTCACCCCCCACTCGTTGGAGGTCCTTCCACACACTGCTGCGGCGCTCCAACACCCACAGACGACATCTGCGGTCAATTGTCCTCCCCATCTCCTCCACAGCCAACGAACCCAACGCAGAACTGTGCAAGATCCCCCCCGCCAGGAGTGTTACTGCAGCGGAGACATTTTGGTGGAGGAAAGGCATCACCGATACTGCCTCCACGACCGCCAACGCTGTCGCATTTCGTCTGTTCACCTACTGGAAGAGGAAGAGAACCAGCATTACCAGTGCATCCTCACTGTGAGGATGTGGCACACCTCCTCGTGACGCATCCATGGCTTCCATCCGGGCACAACGTGTGACGCGTCCGGTGAGCCGGTGACACAGCAACCGTCTCCGTCAGCTATGGAACCCCACTGTCCGYCGGGGAATGGCRAGTGMCACGGGCAGGTGCGCTGCAATCTACCCCGGGTGCCAATGCCTGTAGATGAATGACCTGTTATGAGTGATAACAGAAGGTTATCATTGTAGGATCAAGCTGAATCTAACCCAAATCTTAAATCAATCGATCAAGAATACATGTAACACAAGACAGGTCAATCTCAAGCTAAGTCTATAAGTTCATGGAGAATAGTCTCCATATCACAATCTCACTCAAATCATCCTAATTAACTAAGCATAAGTCTACCTCTAAGCAAGTGTCAAAAGAAAGGTAAACCCTGGCAGAATCTCCTCTATACAGAGTGGATTTTCCAGAATTGTCACATGTCCAATATAATTTAATTCCTCTAAACTAAAAAAATTTCGGCAGCGCTTTCCGCAGGAAAAGTGCCTTCACATAATTTATAATACTCCAAATATGAAAACAAAACGACCTCTAACTCTAAAAAGTCAAAGTTTGTCTAATTCCATGAATTAGTAAAAATTTTGCAGCACTTCCTTTAGAAAGGGAGACCTCCCAGATTTATACTAGGTCAGATATGAACTAAGAAAACAAGACATGGGTTCAACCAAGACAAACTTTAACTAATTCCTTAGATTTGTAGAAATTTCGGCAGCACTTCCCGTAGAGAAAGTGTTATTCCAAGATTCATACAAAGCTAAGTTCAGAACCTGAAGCGACTTTGACTTCTCAAGGTCTAATTTTTGTTTTACTCCCTGAATTAGCAAAAATTTGGGCAGCACTCCATTTAGAAAATGAGGTTTCTCATATTTTTACTAAGTCAAAAAGAAGTCAAAAGAACTGGACCCTTAAAAAGACAAAATCTGACTAACTCTTTGGTTTTGTGGAAATTTCGGCAGCGCTTCCCGTAGAGAAAGTGGCTTACCAAGATTTATACAAGACCAAGTAAAATAAAAGATCCCAGAAAATGCAGAATTTAATTTAAGTAAGTAAAAAAAACTTAGCTCTGAAAATGAAGGAATTGAGACTAACTCTTATGGCTCTAGCACGTGGCGAGCAACTAAAACAACTACCTATCAAACTGAGACTCAAACTAAGTAGTAAACTCACTCAGTCACATGCAGCCCAAACCACAAAGGTAAGTACTCTCAGCATCCAAAGGTCAACTTTGACAAACAATAGTTCGTAATCTTTCAATGATTTATCCCTTTATACCCATCTTACATAGGCCATAAAGCTAGACCACCCAAACTTATGGAACATGTCTAGCTCAGTCATGGAGTATACACAAACACAAGACACAACAACTTTTCTCTTCTTTGAGCATATGACTAGGCCACTCTAGTCGTCCTGAACTGTTTAAATATCCCAACTTTATATACTTGTTTGCACTTAGTCTTTTGAGGTAGCATATAACTGAACCGATCATCTTCAGCTCAAGATTCAATCTGCCCCTTCGTACCCCAACGTTATTTTTAATTAGTACTCCCTTTTGTTGGTGATAAGCTATAATCAGGTCACCCAAACTTATGGAACCCTCTCTGAATAGCTTGTTCATAAGTAATATAGTAATAAAATATAGCCAAATTATAACCTTCTGGTTCCAGCATGTGCGAGGCATTGGGCCAATACCACCCAAACTTATGGAACATGTCTTGGTCCTCAGTCTGGTTCATTTCTCTCAAAGCCAAAGCAGGAAGAGGCTGAGCCACCAAAACTTATGGAACATGCTCAGACCTCCTCGTTCAGGAACCAAAGAAACTGACAACAACCCAAAGTAAACAAAGCGACCAAGTCACCCAAACTTATAGAACATGCTTGGTCCTTGAAGAGTCATTCACATTCAACCCTCACAAGTCTGAGCAATCAGACTACCCAAACTTATTCTCTGTGACTTGCAAAAACTAGGGCGGATACCCTTGTAAGGGTATTCGCACTGACACCGTATGTCACATGAAGTGTTTGCCACCTCTGTTCATCAAATCAGGATTGGTAACAATGACATAATGCAAGGCAAAGGTGAGACACCAAAGGCTTTCCATGGAGTGGCAACCTTAAAAAATGTTGAAACACCCTTTCATGCTCACGTCCTTATCTTTGGAGATTTTGCTTCAACTGCCCATTGTTTTCGAGCATCCACAATAGTCAACCACACCAATCCCGTTCCTAGAACAACGCAACCGCGGTTGACAAAAGGGACATGTTGTAGATGACCCCACTCACAAGGAGACTTATTACTTATCACATATTTACGGTCCAAAAGGGTAGCAACATCGCAGTGTTGATGACAATCATTGTCACCTCATTTGAATTTCACTGTTTCATTCACTGCATGATGACGAGGATAATTGAAAATATATGTTTTCGAGATCATTAGCCACACCTGGAAGGATGGGTCCGTTGTCCGGACTGGCACGTGCTGTGAAGTCCATAGTTGATCAAAATAGAAGTGCTCCGGTTCGCCTCATCTATCGTGTTATAAAAACACAATTTCAGAGAGAGAGAGAGAGAGAGAGAGAGACGTCAATAGAACACAAGAGTCGAGGGACCAATGACGAAATTTTGTTAGCTATGGTGTGTTGAAGACCTTGTTGATCTACTACATGAATGAGACGTTGAAGAATGTCAGGTGAGCAAACAATGTCGGTGTGGCCCCATGTGCTCCACAACCCACAACAAACATTAGCCGGTTCCTTGGCCCGTTGCTTAGTGACCCGCCTGTCGCACATCGTTGCTGATGTTACTCGCACGCTGAAAGCGCACAGACAATTTCAGCTTCACAATCTCCTCAACGGAAAACGGAAGGGGCTCCCATCCCCTTTCTGAAAACGGTAAGCCCCCAAGAACTTTGTTGTTTCTGAATCAACAAATTTAAAGTTATCGAAGGTGTTATAGGAAATCATTGCGTAGTGGGGACGGACGACTTCCCCAGACTTCTGCACAATTCTTTTTCATGAGCTGCATCGTGTGGTCTAAGCTTGAGTGGAGCGGTGACGGGTTTCCAGCCTTCTTGGAGAGTGTGAGAGCTCTCCAAATACTCTCCAATCTTTTAGAGATTGGAGCATAGAGGAGCAAGACCCTCTCTTTCCAACCAAAGTATAAAATATGCAGCGTGCATGCAGTCGCTACTTTTAAGGCTCGGTCTCCGGGGCAAAATAGTAAGCGTTGCCTGCCAAAAGGAGGTCCGTTTACGTGTGGGTTGTTTCCAGCCTCATATAGAGGTGCC